CGGGGATGGAACTTGGGTCCTTGTGCTTGCAAGGCAGGTGGCAGAACCACTGGGCTAAATCTCTGCCCCTCATTCAGTTCTTGACCAATCTTTGCTCACTGAATTTGGATTATGGATTCTGTACTAAATACCCAGAAAAAGTTTTGTTTTGTTTTGTTTCGGGGCACATGTGTGTGTGTGTTTGTGTGTGTTTGTGTGTGTATGTGCACACATAGTACTAAAGATTGAACTCAGGGGGACTCTGCCACTGAGATACATCTCCAGCCCTTTTTAGTTTCTTTATTTTGAGGCAGTGTCTTGCTAAGTTACTAGGCTAGTCTTGAACTTGCAATCTGCTTGCTTTAGCTCCTGAGCAGTTGGGATTGTAGGCATGCAGGAGCACACCAGCCCACACAAGTTGTAACTAAGAATAAAATCTTCATTAATAGTTCACTGCCTGCCGATGAGCTGTCTTCCTGTTCACCTGTCTCTGGGAATGTCTCTAGGATCTAACTCCTAAAATACTTGTTCCCATTTACTAAATTTTGGGGCTAGACTTTTAACATGAGGTCAAATTTTTGTTTTCTACTTGTTTTGTTTTGGTTTTGAGACAAGTTCTTGCTTTGTAGTGCAGGCTGGCCTTGAACTCACGATATACCCCAGGCTGGCCTCAAACTTGTAGTGATCGTCCTGCCTCTGCCTTCTGAGTGCTGGGGTTGCATGCACGGCTGCACCTGGCTTGTTTTCCGTCTGTTTCTGCAGCTTGCACTCATTGAGGACCTACAGATTAGGAGCAGGGCTGGGGATGTAGCTCCGTGGTTCCGCCACCTGCCTCGCAAGCGCAAGGTCCCGAGTTTGATCCCCAGTACCAAAAAAAAAAAAAAAAAGAAAAAAGAGTGGCTTTACTCCAGTTCCTACGCCTTTTGCTGGTCTTACCCATCATTCCAGGGTTCTAGTAACATTCCTTGAGTTCTTCCTATGGATTTTGAGTATATTCATTCATTTATTATTTACAACAAGCCCATAAGTCAATTAGTCTCCTTTAGAGTTGGGTGAACTTGGCTCCAAAGAACTAAAAAAACAAAAGAACTTCCCAAGGTCAAAAAAGATATAAATAGTAAAACCAGGATTCAAACCGGAGAGTCTGGGCTCGAAACAGGTGCTTATTATGCTCGGCACACCAGCCAGACACGGCGCACTCTGCTGTGTTTGCGTAGCACCAATCGGCCGACACACATTGGTACGGGAACCCTGTATGTAAAATCTGAAAGCTGCATTAGTTCGTAGGGTTTTTCATAGACAAGGGAAGCCAGAGAGTGATAACAGAATCATGATCTCTAGAAGGAAAGAAAACGAGCCGCAGCTCAGACGCTGCAGAGGCAGGAATCCTTTCAGTTCTACTCTGAGAACCAACCGTAACACTGAACGCTGCTTCCCTAGCTCCTTCCAGGGGGTCTCCTGGCACTCAGCCTGGCCCTGTTGCACATAGCTGCTCGAGCTGCACCTCTGCTCTGCCCATAGTAGTCGCCCTTGTAGCCTAGAGCTCTAGAGCTCTTCTCCCACCTAGTTGTCTTCACATCTGTATGCCAGCGCTTCTACTCTGTTGTGGTTTTTCTTGCATTTTTAGTATCTCCAGAATTAGCATCTAGACACACTATGCTGCCTGCTTGACTGGCTGAAGTTTCTCTGGAGTTATTTTTTTTTAAAAAAATAGTACTCAGAGCATAGATTCACACAGGTTTTATTTTATTTTCATTCTACGGTTTTGTAGATTTGTGAGAGTTTTCCATGATATATATAAATATAAGGATTTAACAGCAATCCATACATCTTAAATTAATCACTATCCCAAATGTTTTATCATTTCAAGCTTAGCATTCTCACCAGCACCAATAAACTTTCTTTATGGCCAAGATCCCAGACTAATCGGAATAAAAAGTAATAAAAATTTACCCACTCCCTTCCCAATGGTTCTGCTAATAAGATACTTAAAATCTACTAAGGGAGAGAAAATAAGTCCATTAAAAAGACAAATGCCAAGGTTTTAAAGATAGCAAAAGTGGCTGCTAAGCAAGTTGAATTGTACCTTTATGATATTGCAGCAGTGACACTAAACCTGTACCTGTAATTAGACAACTTGGATTTGAATCTATGGTAGACTCTATCACTTGCTTTATGACTCTGGGAAATCACCTAAACTTTATGAACTCTAGTTTTCTTACTTTTAAAACGGAAATAGTAGTACCTGCCTTTTAAGATTATACAAAAATTAAATGAAAAAAAATTAAATGAGTAACATGTCAATGTGGCACACACTAAATTTGGTAATTTCTTCAAACGGTGAAGAGACATCATTGATGTGTCTCAGCATTTGTTTCTAAAAGCTAGGAATAATTTCAGCTGAGTCTTTATTTTATAGTTATTGGGAGTATCTTTTAAAAAACCGGCCCTCCAAAAGTCAACCATCACTGAAAAGCCAGACTAGAGTTTTTGATCACTGGGAATGCAAAGTTGTGTATTCTCAACTCTGTCTCATTCTTATTTTATTTTGTTTGGTTTGGTTGCGGTACTAGAGGGTTGAACCCAGGGCCTTCTCACTGAGCTACCTCCCCAGTGCTGTCCAGCCCTTTTTTATGGAGTCAAGAGCTTGCTCAGTCTCTAACTTGCCCAGGCTGGGCTCTAACTTGTGACCCTCTTACCTCTGCCTCCCAGAGAGCTGGGATTATAGGTGTGCACCACCACACCTGGCTATAACTCATTCACTTAAAGTGCACTTTCAGGCTGGGGATTTAGCTCAGTGGTTCCACCACCTGCTGCGCAAGCACAAGGACCTGAGTTCGATCCCCGGTACCAAACAAAAAAACAAAAAACAAAAATAAAGTGCACTTTCATGTCTTGTAATATATTCACAGAATTGCGAACCACCATGACCCCTTTCAGAACCATTTCATCACCTTAAAACAAAGCAGCACCAGTTATCAATCGCAAACTCACCCTCCCCCAACTCCCTAATAAATGAAGCTAGAACAGTGGGAGGAGCCCCTGGAAGGCTCTCTCTTCCTTCAGCTGAGTACAGGATCTGCCACTGTTTGGAAGTGTGGCTCTTTCATTCTGGAATTATGTAGAAAATGGACAGAAACAAGTCCAGGAGGTTATACCGTCTACCGAGCACTGACTCCAAGTACTGGTGGACATGGGAAGGATCACGCTCTAGCACTGTTTCCAAACTAGACAGAGGCCAACTTCAGTTGATCACGACTCAACACTCAACCTGAAAGGCATGGGGTGAATACAGCCACTCACTGAGCAACTTCCTCATGGGAGATACACATAATTTCTTACTGACTCCTGACTAGAACAAGTAAGACAAAAACTAAGCAACCAGTTTCCTACCACAGAGCCTCTGGTACTCTGACTGAAACCTCTTTGGTACCCTAGTTTTCACTTTTTGCTTCAGTTATCTACTGTGCTGTAACAAGTCACCCAGAAGTTAATGGCTTCACCCAAACAGTGGACCTGCTCATCCCACACAGTGTGTGTGGATCAAGGATTTGGGAGCCCTACTTCTGGCCCAGGTCTTTTGTGTCAAGGCAGTCAAGTTGATGGTGGGGACAGCAACCGTCTGAAGGCTTGGAGGGGCTGGAGGACTTGTTCTGAATCTGGCAAATGAGTGCCGGCCATAAGGACAGACCTCTCCACCGGGCTCTGAAGTCTCCCGGGACTGTGGTGGCCAGCTTCTCCCAGGGCGACAGAGCCCCTGTGAGGATGACACAGCCCACGTGTATCCATGTCATACACGCTGGATCTCTTTATTAGGAGTGAGTCAGTAAATTTTACCTGTACTAAAGGACGTGGGCTGTAGGCTCTCTCTCTTGAAGAGAGGATATAAAATAATTTGTGGGCATATCTTACACTTCTCCCTCCTTCGCTCCCCACAGCTGCTATCTTCTGATGTTTCCAGCTCAGGAAGAAGATGGAAATGGTTCTCTTCCACCTATATTGCAGGTTTGAAAGTTTTTCTTCTTCAATCTCTTAATTTTTTTCTGGAATTCTTACAGGCAAATCCAGTACTGTGGGTAAGAATTAAGATTTGTAATCAGAATACCTGGGTTTTGAGTCTGAATACATTCATTTACTTAGTTACATTAGCTGTGTTTATGCATTCGTTGTATAAATTCAAGTCATATAAATTAGTGGTATAAATTCAAGCAAGATATTTGATTGGTTGGAACCTCAGCTGTCTCTTTGATATTACCAAAAGGTTATCAGAAGGATTACATAATATAAGCATGAGAATTGTCTGGAAACTGGAAGTACTACTCACATGGCTCTGTTGTAAAAATTGTTACTAATGTCAGCACTTAAAACTGTCATAAATAGGGCCAGGGATTTAGCTCAGTGGTTCAGCTGCCTGCCTACCAAAAAAAAAAACTATCATAAATATAGTAGAAATACCAATACAACTGTCCCAAGTCAATGGACAAACATTTTCAAATAAATTACCAGCTCATCTCTGCTGATTCATTTAAATAAATTATTCCTCTACAGAAAATAGGGATGCACCACTATATCTTCATGCTAGTAAATGTGGAGAAAAAACAAGTTTATCTTTTGTCATAAAGTCACATTGTGGGACCACATAACTCTGTAATCATAAAAGTTCTCCCAGCCCCAACATAGTGACAGATTATAAGTTAATGGTTAAAATGTGCTTGTTAGTTCTGGGACACTAGATAAAATCTGTAACAAACATAGAGTTCCTAAGTGAATTACCCAACTCCTTGTTTGTCCGAAACCAATGTTCCGGACACAGCTATCTATAAGACAATCTGCAAACATCTTTTGACCATCAACATTTTTTTCTCTTTTCTGTAAGTTCTGCTTGCTAACTTCCCCTGCAACCCCCTATAAAAACAGCCTTGGACTCTGAGCCGGTTGCCTCTCTAAGCTACTTTGCTTTCGGAGTGCCGTCTGGCCAGACTAATAAAGGTCTGTTTTACTTTCCAGCTTGTCCGGTGTGTTCCTTCCCGGGTGTTCTTCACTGCAGTCAGCTCCTCGGAGCGTTTGGTAAGGCCCTCGGTCTTACAACATTAGTCTTCTTTTGAGGTTAATGGACCAGAGACAGCCAGATTGAGTCACTAAATAGTTTTAAATAAACTTACTTTTTTTTGTACCGGGGATCAAATTTGGGTCCTTGTGCTTGCGCAGCAGGCGGCAGAACCACTGAGCTAAATCCCCGGCCCTAAACTTGCTTTTTTAACTGTGGTCCATCTCTACTGGTGACTTTTTCATTAGGTTGAATTTGGTAAACATTTGGAATTTTTGATGAAACTCAAAATTTAGTATGTTTTATTTATTCATTTATTTTTTGAGACAAGGTCTTGCTGTGTAGTGCCAGTTGGCTTGGAACTCACTATGAAGCCCAGGCTGGACTCAAACTCGTGGCGATCCTCCTGCCTCAGCTTCGCAAGTGCTGGGATTACAGGTCTGCACTACCACGCCCAGCAATATGTTTTAAATTTTCAATTTGAAAGGGAAAGTTCTCTGGAAATAGATTTAAAGATGACAGCCCCTTGGAAAAATTGCATCAAAATTATAAATATATATGATATAATTTATAAATGGAATTATATACATATTGTATAAATTGCATAAATATCTTAGGTTAGCCTTTTTGAAAAACTTCTTTTTGGTTAACTCTTCCCATTTCTTTTAATGGGTATTAATTGTAGTTGTCTCTCCTACCAATGCCCATACTACCAAACTAGTGTATGAGTGATAATAGTAACAAATTCCTAAATAACCTCGAATGAGAATTCACTAGGTGGTGGCACTATTTGCTTTACGGATATTAATTCATTCACTCTTCCCAACAAACCCATGAAGTCCATGCAGAATCATCTGCATTTTACAAGTGAAGAAATTAAAGTACAAAGAGATTAAGGAATTGCCTCAGGTAACCAGCCAGACAATGGTGATTGGACCTACAAAGTTTAACCCTAGACAAGCTTCTCTTGTTTTATAATAACTGTGTGAAGCTTTTTTTGGTTCTTTTTTCCCTCCAGGATACTATAATTCTGTTTATGAGCCACACACATATATATAAAGGTTCTTTTGATTTCTGTAAGTATGGGATTAGGTTACAGGTATTATACATATATGTATCTTTATCTTGCTTTTCTCATACAATAGCCTAAAGAAATATTGGGAGTCAATTGTTATACTTCTAATTAATTAATTTTTCCTTTTCCTTTTCCTTAATTTTGGAGACAAAGTCTTGCTACGTAGTCCAGGCTGGCCTCAAACCTATGACGATTCTCCTGCCTCAGGCTCCATACCTGACTACCATCGATCTCCATACTTCCTTACTCTATTTGTTCATGGCTCTGTTTGTGTGCTGCTATACGAAGACCACGTTGACATAATTATGCAGACAGTTAACCGGATGCAAGCAAAAGCAACATTCTCTGTTTTCATTTTTGCATTTTAAACCCATTATGCCAAGTGGGTTTAGCACTTTGCCTTTGAACTTTCACTGCCTTGAAGGCCTCAGTCAGATGCAATGAGATTGTATTCCTGTTCCATTTCCACTCAAACATTAATGCGCAGGAGGGCTCCAATCATTCACGTAACGTAAACCTGCTGCTTGCCCAAGCTTGTGCCTCTGTCAGACTCAGAACTCAGAAGCCAGGGGGCGAGGATGGTTGGTTTCTATCGCTCTTCCTCTGGGTGCTGTACCTGTTTCCCTTTGTTTTATCTCTTCTGACTTTTCTTGAATTGTGGGGTCCAAGTGGTCAGGCTGGGAGCTGCAGGGGAGCTTATGAACCTGGCGCCATTTTTATTTCTCTTTTGACTGTCAAATGCTCTCATTCTCATTTGAATGCAGTCATTCAAATGTAAAGCCCTTGTGAGGATCTTCTGAGTCCACCGACACACTGCTGAGGGTTGTCCCTGGCAGTTCCCCTAGGAAGGCGCCCCTCCGCCTGGCCCCTTGGGATGTCTCAGCTGGCAGATCCAGGTGGTGCACCCCACGCAGAGACTCTCATCTCTCCAAATGGGTTTCTGGGTGAGATCTTTCTCAAGGTGTCTTAATGGATGCCTCTCAGTGGGGGCTACATCAGACTTTCAGAAAGATTCGCATTCGCCCAGCTGTTGGAGAATGACAGTTCCCTTCAATACTGGGCTTCTCTCCTTGCTCTGCCATCCAACAACTCACCTTTAAATTTTTTCAGGCATCAGAAGGTAACAAATCCTTACACTCTCAGGGCACCCATGTCAAATTCAGTAGCTCTCGGAAACCCCAGGGATTTGGTTTGGGCATGGAAGATGGTAGAAAAGCTTTATCTCCTCTGCTACTTAAAGAAGAGATGGGCGATGAATACGCAGCACTTGGGAATTTGCCCAGAAATTTTCTACTGCCTGTCTCGCGGTCAATCTAGACATCTCCTCTTACAAGCAGAGAGGTCAATCTAGACATCTCCTCTTACAAACAGAGAGGTAGATTAATGATTACCAAACTGGTTTTACAATCTCTTACACTGCCCTACATGGCTAGGCCTGGAATCTATTCTTTTATAGCCTTTTGGACACATAAGTCGAATGTAAACTTTTCTTTCATTTATGGTATTTTTAAATATCTACTAGAACAGATGTTCCCTTGTTCTCTTCTTATAATTTTATTGGTTATGTTCATGCATTTATTTTCTTGTTTATTTCATCTATCCCTGCCCCTACTACCTGTTGGAATTCTAACTGGATTGTATGAAAATGCATTAATTTTGTGACATTTTTATGACAACAAATCTTTCCATCCAAGAACATAGCTTTTAAAAACTATCTGTTTTCTTCCTGTAGTGTTCTAGCTACTCCTGAATGTTTATTTTATGCTTATTCATATTATGTACTTCCCTTTCTCTCTGTTTATCCATGTTACAAAGTATTATTTTGTGGATTTTCTTCTACTTACCCACATTGCTAAGTTATTTTATTAAGGCTAGATGTTTATTGTTTTTAATGACTCATCTATTTTTAGAGATACTATCAGATGATCAGCTAAGAGATATTGTTATGTCTTCTCTTCTCATGTTTATTAGGTTAGTTGATTTCTCATTTAACTTTCTTATCAATGCTTTCACTGAAACCACCAAAACAAATTCTAATAAAATGTTTTAAAGTCATAACTGTTTAAACTAATAATTAAGGGGGAGGGAGGTAGAAGAAAGGGATGAAAAAGAATTAGATGTGTTAAGGGCCCATAACAACTCCACACAATGACTATAAACATGTGTTGCAGACATGTACATAAAAGGGGGGTGGCCGGGGATTTGGCTCAGTGGTTCCACAGCCTGCCTTGAAAGCACAAGGACCCAAGTTCGATCCCTGGCACCAAAAAGCGGGGGGCATCAAAAGGTGGATGGAGGGGGAGGGAAGGGAAAGGGGATGAAACAAGGAATTAAGATGTGTACTCCCCACGGTGTTCTGCAGACATGTAATAATAAAAATAAAAATAACCCAGATGTGGTGGTACACTCCTGTAATCCTAGCACTTGGGAGGCTGAGGCAGGAGGATTGCTGAGGGTTCAAGACCAGCCTGAACCACATGGTAAGGTCTTGTCTGGGAAAAAATAAAAATAAAAAAACAAAAAAAGAAAATAATTAAATTGGTTTTGGGATTTATTTATTATTATAGTCAAGTAGCTTCCTTATATTACTGTTTTATTTAGTGTCTTTATTAGAAATATTGTTATATTTCATCAAAAGCATTTGCAACACATTTTGTTATAATCACATGAATTTTTTGCCTTTAGTTAGCTGCTTTAATGGATTAGGTTGGTACAGTTCCTGATCGTGAACCACATTTGTCCCTTTACTGTGTTTTCCTTTTGATATATTGCTGGTGTCTATTTTTACTTATGTGACATTGTTTTACAGATTTATTTTCCCTTCCTCTCTCCTTCTCTCTCTTTCTTTGTTGTTTTGTTTGTGTGTGTGACAGGGTTTCACTATGTAGTTCAGGTTGGCCTTGAACTCACTGTATGTAGCTCAGGCTGACCTCAAACATGCAGTGATCCTCCTGGCTCAGCCTCCTGAGTGCTAGGATTACAGATGTGTGCCACCATACCTGGCTCTCTTTTCCTTACCTCATTTTACATTTTTTATCCTAAACTTTTCATATTAAAGTTGTGTTATAAGCACAAAATAATCTAGAGACATTCCCATCTTTTGCTACTGCAACAATAAGCCACATCCTTGTTACAAAGAGTGGCTACAGAGCAGCAGCAGACACGAATAACCTTAGGCCTAACCTAGATCTCCTAAGCGGGGAATCGCACTGGACGAGATCCCCAAGAGCTCCATGGAACGCTGAAGACTTGGAAGCACCATTTAAAAGCGCACTGAAATGATCTTAGCTGGGAGGTGTTTGATCGTTTCCACAGGCAGAAATTTAGTCTCTGTTTCTAATCTCCTGTGTGGTCTATTCAAATCATTTCCCCTTTCTTAAATTAATTTGGGTAAGGCTTGTTTTGATAGGATATTAACCATTTCGTGGGTCTTATCAAATCTGTTGCCATGGTTGCTGTTAATAGTCTCATAATTATTTCAGCCTCTCCTACGTTTAAGGCTCTAACGCTGCCATTTTAGTGGATGTCCAGCAGGTCTCTTGCTGGCTGATCAGGCTCATCTTGCCTTCCTTAGCTTGCAGAACCCTGGGACAGGCTGGGGCACCACTCAGAGCCCCCCAAAGACTCAGGCACTCATTTCTCTCGATGCTATGCGTGTTAGAGGCTGATGACTCACAATGAAGTCTCTCTTTTTTGGGACTTGCCCTTAGCTAGAGAGAATCATCCCCAAGGACATGCCCCTCCTTGGGGATAGTGCTACACGAGGAAGCTCGGAGCAGACTCGGTGCCTGCTCAGAGAGGTACAGTGAGGAATAAAGAAGGACAAAGACAACTCGAAGCACAGGGATACCGGGAAGTCAGTGCCTCCCTCAGACTGGGCAAAGACAAGACCTCTCAGGCTGGCCCACTTTTATAGCAGGGAGAAGCCCGGGGAGGGTTGTGGACTTTTCCTGGAGCAGACTGCAGTGAGAAGGTAGTATAGAAGGAGGAACAGGTTTAGCATCACTGAAGAAACAAGTTCAGATCCTCCCCTCCATATCTGCATACTTGCTTCCTTTGTGCTCTCCCCAGCAGATATTATTTTGTCTCAGGAGCTCTGGGGTTAGGGGATCACATCCCACCCAGCCAGGAAGCCTGCAGGCTTCGGCAAAACTTCCTTATTCCTGAAGCAAGTCAAGGTCTGCCTCGTGACTGCAGGGCCTGTACTTTGGCCCCTACTAACCTATACATACCGTGGCTGGTCCCCAACAGTGCTGTCCACTTGTGGGGTTGCAAGAGGGAGAGGTGTGGAATAGCCCACCCTTTGCCTCAAGCAAGACCACTGGGAAGGGCCTTTCCAGGACCTGACCACCCTATAATAACTGCTCGCTCCCCTCTGCCCTGCATGGCAGTTTAACTTTTCCTTTTGTCTCTTTCTCTTCCCTTTACCCATCACAACTGTTGTTCCCAGGAGAACTCCCCAAATAAATCACCTGCATGCAAATCTTAAGAGTTGCAGACCACTGGGGGAGGGCTGACATACCACAGTCTCTTGAAAGAGTTGTATGTTTTCTTTTTTTTTTTTTTTGGTACCAGGGATTGAACTTGGGTCCTTGTGCTTGTACAGCAGGCGGCGAAACCACTGAGCTAAATCCCCGGCCCCTGTTGTATGTTTTCATTGTTAGCTTTGGCTCTGAAATATGGTCATGCCCTACATGGCTTCAAGCAAGGCCCTCTTCCCCTGTGTGGACTGGTGATGATCTACCACATTCTTCCGGCCACAGGACAGGCAGGTCGGAAAGACCTAGTCCTCCCGGATGTTGGCTGCTGTCTTGCTCCAGCTTCCTGTCGGCTTGTGTGTGACCTTTCAGCACAGGTGAAGCATTTGGATGAACATTTGGATAAGTATTAGGAAGGGAAATTGAGATGTCATTCAGATCACCAGATTTCTAGGATCTTACCCCAGAGTGAGGCATGTGGCCGTGATCCCAGCACTTGGGAGGGATCGCCCTGAGTTCAAGGCCAGCCTGGGCCACACAGTGAGACCCTGTCTCAAAAGAAAAATTCTTAGAATACAAGTAATCAGAAATTTTCAGAAATTAAATATTTAAATTAAACCACGCCTTTCATTTCTTTATAAAAGTTTCATATAGGTGTTCACTGGAATTCAGAAGAAAAAGGTGGAAAGATGCATGGGAAGGGGGAGGGAAGGATGATTATTTTAAGAACTGATTTTTTTTTTTTGGTACCGAGGATTGACTTCAGGACCTTGTGCTTGCGAGGCAGGTGCCAGAACCACTGAGCTAAATCCCAGGCCCGAGAATTGATTTTGTTTAACCATGATTACTTGCCTGTTGAAGTTTTCTGTCTTATTGTTATTTTATTTTAACTGCTGTTTCAGAGTGCTGATTCTTTTTTTTTCTTTTTTTTTTTTTGGTACTGGGGATCAAACTCAGGTCCTTCTGCTTGTGCAACAGGCGGGGAAAGCACTGAGCTAAATCCCCAGCCCCTAGGGTGCTGATTCTTACCCTATCTTGTGGAAGCAGGAGATTGGGGTGTGGCCAGCCGGATGGGTCAGTAGGTAAGACCTGTCAATCATCGAGAAGCCCTGCACCTGGGACCAATCAGAAAATGCCATCTTCAATTCTTTTGGTGCAAGATCAAGGAGGTTCTTGGTAGGATGGCCTCAATGTGACATCATCACCCTGAGGAGTGGGCCATGCAGAAGATGGCCACCATCAACCTCGTGGTCAGTGTAAACTATTTCAGTACTTCTCTTCCTGCCTTGAATACCTTTAATAAATGCAAAACCTCACTACCTTTTGTGCTTGTCTGAACCACTTCTTTGTTCAGGACAACAGGAAGCTAGAAAGAATCCCTAAAAAAAATCTTTTTCTGGAAAGAATGAAATTTTATCTCAGTGCCATCATTGCTTACCTCTGTGTGTGGCACATAGAAAATGCTTGATTCCCATCTACAAGCAAAAAGGGTCCTCTGTTCCAGTTGTCCTGAACTGAGTGGGCAACTGTTGCAGGGCCTTTCTCTTGCCCAAATTCCACCTAATAAAAAGTTCTGAGAGCAAAACAAAAGAAAATCCTTGATGATCATTTGCTAAGGGACTGAACAAATGTCATGCAACCAACGGGAAACCAAGACCTAGTCTTTGTCCTCAAAGAGTCTAAAAAGATAAAATACTCAGAGCACACCAGTGTTGCCATGTTATTCACTGTGATGTTTGTTTTAAATGGAGCTAACCTTTTTGCTAAGGAAATTTCGTTCCCCAGTGAATATAAGTGAGAATATCATAGCAAGTCTGGAAATCTATTCAAGGATACCTTGAAGCCCGGTGCAGGGATTTGGTTTTGAGCTACAGATCTGACCATGGAAAGAAATGAACATGAAGAGGGAGGGACAGTAGTTAAGAAGCAAGGGAAAATGAAAGAGTAAGAGAAGGAAGCTGGATGACATTGCTCTTCCTCAAGCTTTAGTCCAAGGGGGTGGGGAGGAAAAACGGGGTCTGTTGCTGCTCCTGAATCTGACCTGCAGACAATCACGTGCCGTCCACTGACTGCCTTGTCTAGTCATTATTATGACAGAATTATTCAGCTTTAAAGATCATTCGAAGCTGGGGTGCACACCCGTGATCCCAGCACTTGGGAGGCTGAGGCGGGGGGATTGCCAGGACTTGGAGGCCACCTGGACTCTACAGTGAGTTCAAGGCCAGTTTGAATTACACAGCAGACCCTGTCTCAAAAGAAACAAACCACCCAAACAAAAACAAACAAACAGGGACCCAAAAAACCAATCACAGTAGCAAAAAAGACAAAGCCTGGCCTCAAGGAGCTTATAAAAGAGCAGGAGAGTTAGGCCAACCTAGCAACTTTAATACACAGTCATGTTAAAGAGGCATCCTTACGTCCCCCATCGGGCACTGCCCCCTAGAGGACTCCTATGGCACCAACTGGGCCCTGCGCGGTGCAGCAGCCCGAGACCCTTCTCTCTGCAGGGTAGACACTCACCTCTTCTCTCAGAGCCGGCCGAGGGCCTCCGACTCTCTCTCTTCCTGTCCCATTGCT